GCGGGCGGCTGGATTTGAGTGTCCGCTTCGTCCTGCCACGATCGTCGCTTGCGAGCGGTACTCATGATATTTTCAGTCGCTCTGTTTTACGGACTGCAAACCCATGCCACGGGAGACGATATCGAAACACCGAAAGTCGTGCTCGCCTGACCATCTGCGCTTCACATGACCCACTAGCGCGTCTTACTCCAGCCCTTCATCGAGACCTTGGGACACTCGGCAAGCAGAATCCTCCCTCGCTTCCTGGGCTGCTCCAATGAAATCAATGAGAGACAACCTGCATCTCTCCCAACACCAAAGATCATCTCGAGAGAGCGAGCGGCCGCTCAAACGTCGTGCTCGTACAACCGACCAGGCTTTCCCGAGTCCACGTTCCACCATCCCATGTTCCCGTCGGCGCTTGATTGAGACCTCGCAGCGCTAGGCAAAAGGGATTTCCCGCTCGCTTTACCGCTGCCGAGACATTTCGCATTTCTCAGCACGAAAGAGCAAGCGGCCATCCAGATCTCGTGTTCGTACAACCATCTAGACCTGCCTCAATCACGTTCCACCAGCGTAGGTTCCCGGCGGCGCTTGACTGAGACCTTGACGCTGGGCAAAAGAGATTTCCCGCTCGCTTTACCGCTGCTTTGGGGCTGTTCATGAGAGACATTTCGCAGTTCTCGCCACGAAAGATCTTTTCGAGAGAGCAAGCGGCCGTACTCGTACTCAACCACGTTCCACCAGCGTCCATTCCTGGCGGCGCTTGATCGAGACCTTTTCTGAACGCCCAAGAGCGGGGAACCGAGCGTGCCATTGGTCTCCGAACATCGGCCACGTTTCGGTTGCAAACCAGCTCTCCTCGCGGACCCTCAACGTGACCTTGCGCGCTTGCCAAAACCAGAAGCCCGTTCCGGTGTTTTGGTCGAAAATTCTCTCGCTTGCAAGATTCTTTCGTCGGTCAAACCCCGCCTTTTCGCTCTTCCCTTGCCAAGCAAGCGGAGATGATTCAGCGCCAAGACGGTGGCTGGAGATGATCTCTGCATTGCATTCAAGGGTCCAGGTGACGTTGGTGGCGTGCTACGAGGTCGTTTTCCTAGATCGTCGTCACACTGGAATGACGGGCAGGGAGAAGCCGTCGTGAGTGGCGAAAGAAGAAAAAAAGGCGTAAAGAAGAGTCAAAGAAAAGAAAAAAACACATAAGGGAAATGAACAATTTAAGCCCAAATTGTCAGGTGTTAGACTCCCTGTTGCTCGAGTTGGATAAGGCCCTCGAATCGGGAGATCTGGAAACACGAACAAGGTGCTCGTCATCATCGTCTTGTCGGACAGCCAGTGAGACCTTCGAGCACTCATAACGTCGTAGACTCGATTCCAGCCGGACCATCAGTTCCACCACTTCAACAGGCTGAGAACGTGAAAGCTTCGCAAGACATCCTCATCATGGTCTTGTCGCACTGCGGAAGCAGCTTTCACCGCCACGGGCTGGGATTGTCGTGAGTTCGTACGATGGGTCACAGCTGCTCGATGAGGTATGTTCGTGAACTCGTAGTATTACATCTTCAACATAGTCGAACACAGTACAGCTCTTTAGGCCTCGACGAACGCCCTCGCCAATGCCGCCTCGCCCTTCCCCACGTTGGTGATCTCCACACTTGCCCCGGCGCCAACAAACGCCAGCTGCCCCTTGCTCAATCTTACCTTGTCCCCACTCTCCTTCACCTCGACCTCTCCCTCCAGGACCAACACGATACTCGGACCATCCACCCCATCATTCTTCGCCGTGCTCCCCTCTCCAACCTGCATTGTAACGACACTGAACTCCTCGATGGGCGGATCGTACAGCAGCGCCTCTACCCCTTCACCCTTCACCTTTCCCCACTTCACCCCCTTCAATCGACCCCTATCGCTCCCGGACTGATACGTGCACATCTCGACCAAGGTCTCTGTGTCGCGCAGCTTGGGTGTGAGACCGGCGCGCACTACGTTGTCCGAGCTAGCCATGCATTCGAGGATCTCGCCCTCGAGGTAGGCGTGCGGCTCGTTGGCCTGTAGAAAGAGTGCTTGGCCCGGTTGCAGCGACGAAATGTTCAGGAGGAAGGTGCAGAAGATGCCGATATCCTTGGGGAACTCGGCGGAGAGTTTGACGACCAGTTGTCGTTCTGTTTCGGGAACGCCTTCGACCGAACCGGCAGCAAAGCGCTCGGAAAGTTGTGAGGCGAGTGGCTCGTACGATGCCGCAGGACTGTTCATCAGGTTGGAAAAGATGGTCTTCAACCTCTTCTTCACATCGTTCTCGTCAGAGACGCTCTCCAGTTCGGCAGGATCCACCTGGACCAGCTGCGCAAACTCCGGTACGCCCTTGATGAACCCCGTGATCTCGGAGAGAGGACGAAACCCGCAGAACCCGCGAAAGGCCGTCAGCGCAATCGCCATCTCCGGCTTGTGGTTCGGATCCTTGTACACGTCGGGTCGTTGTTTGTGCAGTCGCTTGCCGAGTTCCTTGTCTGGGTGCGCTTGGATGCTGAGCGCCTTGCCCACGGAGAGCACTTTGAAGAGGAACGGCAGGCTGCCGGGCGCCTCGTCGGCGAACTTGTTGGTCACTTTCTCGCCGATCAGCTCCGGATGCGCTGCGAGATGGGAGGACAGCGCCTCATGGTTCGAGGTGGACGGGAGGATGACTTTGGATGGCATCGACGGGTGAGTGCCCATCCACAGCTCGGCATATGGCTTGTTGTTCTCCGGCTTAAAGTTGAGTTGTGGGGTGGCAGACGCGAACTGCGCAACGCGCGAAGTGTCCCCCACAATACCCCAGTCGTACGACTGAACACCTGGGATCAGCTGGAATACCTTCGGCGTCGTCATTGTTTCCGAGAGATGGTGTGCGATGGTGGACAGGCGGCGGTCGGCCATTTGCTCTGATGGTGGTGCAGAAAAGAGGTCGCCGATGAATTTGCAAAGTTGGTTGGTGCGCAAGAGGTCAAGGGTCGCCGGTCGCACCATTTTTTATTTCTCGGTCATGAACGCCGACGGGACTCTCGCGTGCGTTCTTTTTTTTGACGCCTTCCCGCTCGTGCATATGCGAGGTCAGAATTGGGCTTCATAGGCCGCTTCCGCCGCGGAACATGGCGTCCCGCACAGCGTGTCGCTTGCATGTCTCGTACTCAAGCTGCCCTCTTCGAGACAAGGCATAGATGGGGTTCAGATCACGCTTCCCACCTGCCATGACTGAAGACACTTCTGACATTGATGCAGTTTCGCAATTTGCCACAGAGAGAATGATCACTATGACAGCAGTGCTGCTCATCGTCGAGGCGAGCTCAAGGGCACGGGATCGCCATACCGCTGCGGAGGATGACGATGTCGCGTTTGCGTCGATCGACGTGCGGTCTCTTCATGGCCGGAAGCGGCCTCGCTGTCCGCTGTTGAGCCTCTCATACGACGTCGAGTGCGAGGCGTTGGCTGCGATCCACCGTGATCATCCTCGCTAGGGGTGCCGTCGAGTACGAATGTCGACGACGAGCTTGGCGTCGGTGGATCTCCGTTTCCTACGTCCATGTGCGGGACAGACGGGACTGGATTGGCAGGCTGTGCTGATCGGGGCGCGCCTCGACGAAATGCCTCGCTGATCTTGATCTTTCGCCTCTCAATGTATCGCTCACCTTCCTCGTTCTCGACAAGTTCGATTTCTTCTTTGTTCTCGATGACGATCTCGCCTGGACGGCCTGGTTCATGGAGGATGTCGTCGTCTCGTTCTTGTCGATGCCTGTCGTACTGCTCGACCCACGTACATCGTGCTGCCAAGTACAGAGACAGCGTCGCGCTGCCTCCTAGGAACGGCGATAGAGCGAGCAGAGCGACAACGGCGCGTGCTTGCGTCTCGATGACATGACGGTCCGCTCGATCAAGTCGGAGCGAGGAAGGCAGGGGAAAGTTCATCATACCTGGCGGAGCATCGTCGTCGTCGTCTTCGTCGTCGGGATCGCTGATGGCGGGGTGTTTGGCGCTTGGGCTTGCGACAGCTGCCTTCCACAACCACAGGCCGCTCTCGATGAGTACGAAGACCGATGCACTGACTGCAACGCAGACATGATCCGAACTGATCGAGCTCTGAGCTGGGTGGCGGAAGAATGTAGTTGGAAAGAGCAAGCTGATCGTGCCAAAGATACGGTGCAGGAAGGTGCGGCTGCCGTTGACCTCCAAGAAGCAGGCGAGGGTGAGCCACAGTCGCAGTACGATGCTGATGGCGGCGAGACCAAGGAAGTACATCTTTGCGTCTTTCCAGAAAGGCACTCGAAGCTTGCTGCGCGACATTAGCTTAGACAAGATCTGCCGTGTCGTGCGGTGAGGCGTCGGCAGCTGCCATCGTCGCCCCATCGTGGGGCGATTCTCTCTCGAAGCGCGAGGCGGCTTGTAGGTGACGTAGAGCGAGACGAGCAGAGGAAAGACGTGCATGATCATCACTTTCGTAAAGCTGTTGGGGTGCTGCAGTACCGATGAGAGGCCAGCAAGGATGAACAGAGGCATGCCGACTTTCTCTGGAATCCAGTGTTGCATTGTACGAGCTACCTTGTCCATCATCGTTGGCTGAGGAGGCAGCGGTGTCTTCCTGATGGTGATGTCGGTCTTGAAGTGCCTGACGTTGGGGTCGGGAGAATCGCGCGGAGTGGGAGGAAGAGCAAATGGAGGAGAATGACGAGCTGTTCGGGGTCTGTTCATGGCGACGGTGAAGCCTCCCTGCTCCTGCCTTAATCGCTCGGACTCGGGCTGCGGGGAGATAGTGGGCGGAGAATCATCTTCGTCGTCTTCCAGCGGCTTGAAGATGCGCTCTCTGGCCTTGAATTTCGTGTCCGAGCGGGCAGCAATGAGATCGAAGGCATCGAGGCGGTATATGACGGCGAGGTTGAAGAGATTGAAGGCAAAGCTGATGGCGACAAGCTGTCCGAGCGCCATGATGGTCCAGACGTGAGGGATGCGAAGGCGCTCGGCCTCGTGACGCAGAAAGAGGGCCCATGCGCCCACGGTGATGATGCAGATCTCGCTGCTCCACCACCACGAGGTGTTATCCTTGATGACCTCCATCCAAGCTTCCTTAAAGAGGCTCAGCGAGCCGAGCCACTGCGATATGCGGAGGACACGCAAGTGTAACGCAGGTACGAGCAGTTCTGGTCGTCCGAGATCGAAGGGAGGCGGCGTTGGTGGCAATGGGAATGATGTCAGATGGCAGCGCTCAAGGTATGCCTCGTACGAATGACGCAGGAAGGAGATCATATAGTACCAGGTCGAGGCAAGGCTGAGCACGGCAAGAAGTGCAAAGATCCACTTGGCGTGGAGAGCCTTGTTTCTAAAGGCCCAGGTAGCGAGCTTGATCAGAGCATCAGCGACAGGGGTGTCGGTCTTGATCTCCTTTGGCTTCTTGCCTGTGCGGAAGAGGTCTTGATGCGCCGACATGACATCGTCGCCAACGTGGTCGAGCTCGACGAGACCCATCTCGCCATGGACCTTTGGCAGCATGCTGAGCTGGCGGTACTTCTTGGTCGCGATTCGCACGACGCGGAAGGCGAGGTAGAGGTTGATGCAAAGATACGAGACGAGGATGAGAAAGTTGGGCTCAAAGAGCGCATTGAGCAGGGAGAAGAGGCCAGGGTCGTGCGGCGACATGGCGCCCGAGGAAGTAGCCGATGTGCTGACAGCACTCTGATTGACAGCGAGCTCGCTCATGGTCATGGTGGTCTTGACGGAGGATCCGGGCTTGTAGGCGACCTCTTATCTGTCGAAGCGTTGTCGGCTGCTGCAGCTTTGGAGCTGAGCCAAGCTTGTTGAGGCAATGGCTGAGTTGACGAGCTACTGTGCCCTTCTTCCTTCAACAGACGGCGCTGCGTAGCCAGAAATTGAGTCTCGTCGGATGTACCGTGCTCGAGCTGAATCAGCTGCTGCTGGGAGTGCCGATGCCTTTTCCCACGCACGGATCATGCCATGTGTGACGACAGAGCTTCAAGCGTGCATCCGCACGGACGCCGAAGCGATGGTCGTGAGTCTGACGGTCGGGCGAAGAAGACTTGAAGCGGCAAGTTGACGAGTGACTGTCGAGCGTAGGAGAGTGGCTTTCGAGAAGAACAACAGACATGCAGAAGCAGGACCCTGAAGCGTGAACCCTGCTCTAACCCAGAGAAGCTTTTTCTCGGAAGCCGGCGCGCAACTCTTGCTTCCACCACTTCTTCTCATCCATCGTATCCGCACTTCTTCCAGCCGTCTCTGACCCTCCAAGATCACCTCACAGCACACGAGACGCTGCAGAAGCAACATGGAGTCCATCTCGCTACCATCAGCTCTCCCCGAGCCATTACAGCGCGTCCACCTGGCGCATTTCTCCAACCTCGATCCTGAAACCCAATCCTCCGCCATCATCCGGCGCATCATCTCGGCCTCCCAGGGTCCAACCACCACTAGCACGAGTGCATCCTCACAGTCGGTCGCGGAAGCAGATGCAGAGCGGGCCAAGCTGGACTTTGCCTTTCTCGATCCGACGCGGTTGTGCTCCAAGCAGCACGTGCTGAGTGCGGTCATGCAGGCGGCGGTGGTGTGCGCGAGGAGCTGGGATGCGGACAGGCAGGTGTTCAGGGAGGGCGAGGGGAGCAGCGGCGGAATGAAGTCCAAGACACCCCACTCGGAGGTGATCTATATGCTCAACCCGGGTAATAATGTCGGAGAGTCGCTCAAAAGATTTGGCCTATCGCCCAAGTCGACGTCATTGCTGCTGGTCAAGTTCTCGTCAGCTGAAGCGGATCCGCATACGATACTTCAGAGCATGATTGATGTCGTGTCCGAAAAGAATCTCACAATCCCTGCATCGACATCAATAGAATCGGCGGAAGACGAGAACAGCACAGTGGACATCGATCAGGCCATCCGATACGGTCACTTCGGTCCAGCACAGGCTAAGACGGTAACGGATTGGAAAGAGCTCAACAAGATCTACAAGCTTCAGATCCCATCTACCCTCCTCAACGAGGACGACCAACCTGGGCGGCAGGAAGAGTACGAAGAGATCATCTGCACCAGTGTCGCCATGAAGCTCGTTGCTGCTTGACACGGCGCTAGAAATCGAAAGGCATACCCACTGTCTCTCCACATCGACTGTGCACTCCGCTGAGAATGATTCAAGTGGTTTGCATTGCGACCGTCGGCAAGTCTGTGAGAGTGGGACTCGTAAAGCAGCGCAGTCTACTCGTCTGCGGCTTCCAGCTTGGACTTCTTGAGTTGTGAGAGCTCCTTTTGTCTTCGGATGAAGCTGGCGGCGCAGGATCAGTAGAGAGCGAAAGAGCAACAAAGTCAGCGTCGGCGGTCCGATGCCCGAAGAACGACGCAAAGCATTGCAGAAACGGGGACACTTACTCGTCGTACTGGCACTTCTCATATGTGTGGCTGCAGAGCCATCAAAATTGGCAGAGTATGAATGTAAAAAGTCAGCATCTTGCCCGACTCATCCCTAGTCTCTGTGAGTCGTAGCCGGCTCGACGGCAAACCGTGATCCGTCCACTACAGCTGGCATGGCCAAAAGCACGCAGCATAGTACAGCGCTTGCTCTCGCACTGGCTTCGCCGCAGCTTGTGGACCTGGCATTGGAGCCTTTGACTCTCCGGTGTCGTTGTAGACCAATCTATCCCTTGCTTGGCGGATGTTGGTTGCAACACTTACCGTTCGTCCTCGCACTTCCACGGAGCATACAGCGTCTGCTTGCGGCACTTGTTGAGCGGGATGAGCAATCTGTTCGGTTTTCAAAGGCGAAGATAGCATCCAGTCAGCCAGTGTTCCACCTTCTCCGTTGCAGCGTCTGACTCAAGCTGGTCCAGGCGCATGTTGGTCCTTTCGTAGACCATCTCCAGCAGTCGCTTCTGCTAGACCAGGTGTTGGAAACGTACGCAGAGCACTGGTCGCGATAACCCAGGGGCAGGCGGGCGGCGTTGGCCTCTTCGACCGAAGCGGTGTGTGTGTCGGCCATCGTTGCTCTGTGTTCTGTGAAGTGTATGATGGTGAGGAAGATGTGTGTTGGAGAATTGGAGATGGCATCCTTTCCACCTTGTTTCGCACGGAAAATCCTCCAGATGAACCGTGCTCGACTCTAACATTTCAATTCAAAGGATGACGTCGGAGAGAGCCGAGGGGGAAGATTCTCCACAAGCACGGCACAAATCGGGCTTCCCATGACCTCCCCTTCACCCATCATCTCCATCATCATCCTCGGAATCATGTTGCGAACGCTAGTACGAAGAGCACACGTGCACAAGCCAGGTTTTCGATTCCCGGATCGTAAGGCGCCCAAAGAGTCGCACACGCCACACCCGCATCCCGCCGCACCCAGCAGCATCGTCGAATCCTTCGACCATTTCCAAAAGGTCTTTTCGTCCGGCCCCCACTTTCATCCTGAAAAGCTCCAATCACAGTCCGGCGACAACAGCGGGAGCAAGGGGAGTGGGCTGTTGGGAGATGTGGATATGCAGGGTAGGGAGGTCGCCGAAGACGTACACCTGCTGCCGGAAAGGTTTTGGAGGACCCCAGCGCTTCAATTCTCCGATGAGGAGATCGAGGCTGTCATGGTAAGTCGGTCTCAACAACGAGTCAAAAGGACGGTGAACACGGCTGACGATCGATTGACCTGTAACGTGATTTGCAGAGCGGCGGCGCCAACTAGACCCCCAACAGCAACGCTTTTCGCACTCTCAAGATCAGCTTCTCGCAATACAACATCGTCCTACACAACCGCATTCACACGCGTGCACAGCAGCGTCTTGAAGACTATACATCACGACCAGGACTTCGCTCGCGCTGAATGCCATACAACACATCGCATTGCTTCACCTCGCCCTGTTCACCTCGATCGCCTGCTCGCTCGAACTCTTCAACCTCCTCCTCAGCCTCTCCAGCTCCGACCCTTTCCCCTTCCCCTCCTTGGCCCTTTCCATGCCTTTCCAAACGCACCTTCCGCTGGGGCTGATCATCTCGTTGACGGCGAGAGCGACCTCCCACGCGCCGCAGCCCAACTCGCCATCCTTGCCCTTGCCCTGCTTCTTGGTCCTCCATAGCAATCGGCGGATGAAGCGGATGCTGTCGTGCTTGGCGAGCGTCTGCATGGTCGTCCATTCCCAGTGGTGGAGCTTGTGCATCACGGCGGCGCGTTGGGCGCAGTGTTGACCGGCGAAGAAAGTGTAGCTCGGGTGGGAGCGGGAGTCTGTGCCTTGCTCGCGCCACGTTTCGTTGTCCGAGCTGCGGTCGCTCGAGGTGCTTGAGTCTGAATCGCTGGAATTGTCGGATTCGTGCCCGGAGTCGGCGTCGTTGTCTTCGTCGTCGCGTTTGCTGAGCGGTCCCAGCGTCTCCTGGTCATATCGCAAACCCGAGAACGTTACCTTGAACTGCGCCTTCTGCGACTTCCTGTGGCAGATTCCACACCCGTTCTTCGCCAGCGTGCCGTACTCGTCCACCTCGTCGCTGAACAGCGCCTCGACCTCGATCTTCGGGTACTGCGTGAGGTACCACTTGAACTGCCTGCGCATTGCGACGCTGCTGACGCTCTCCTCGACGGAGCGCATGCGGGAGCGGAGGGCGGCGCGGTTGCGCTCGAGGCGCTTGCGGTCGTCGAGGCTGAGGGAAGACCAGCTGAGCAGCACGCGGGCGGCAGCCCATTCGACCCAGTCTAGACACATCTCGTCGAGTCCCTTGCGGGCGGAGGCGCCGCCGAGACCATGTGCCGCGAGAATAGAGTTGGAGGGTGCGCCAGTGGCGGTGTGAGAGATGGGCGCTAGATGGATCTTGCCATCAGCATCGCGGTCGTACCACCGGCCGTCGGTGGGAGGTCGAGCTTGAGGTATCTCTGTCGGCGGAGGTACGTCCTCATCATCCTGAGGCGAAAATCCTCTCTCGTACTCCACCTGGTCGTCGGCGACAATGAAGTCCTTGCTGTCGTCACTACTGCTGCTGCTGCTGTCGCTGTCGCTGTCGGAGTCTGAGTTGCTGGTGTCACTGTCACTCGACACAGTCTCAGCGCGCTTGCCGTTGCCGAGGCGTCTGCGCTTCTGCGGCCCATCGTCCGCTTCGTCTGACGAGGAGTCGACACTCTCGCCTCGCTCGATCTGCGCCTTCCTGCGTGCCTGTGAGAATGCAGCCAACTTGTTGCGGAAATCCTCTTTGTGTCGCGCTCCCGTCGATCGTGCAAAGGCATCTTCGTTGAGCTCCGAGCGAAGGTTCTTGAGATCTTCGCCCTTACGCTTTCGCTTGGGTTCTTCGCTGCCATCGGCGCCTTGCGTGCTCCTCTTCTCCTTTTGACTGGCTGGCGCTGGCTCGGGCTCTTGCATCCTCTCCTTGCCCTTCTTGCTGGTCTGTTGCTCCCTCGTAGGCTCTTGCATGGCTGCTGCGAGTTTTGATGGAGCGGTTCGTGGTGTCGAGGATCTCGAGCGTTGGCTAGCCAGGCCCTGCGCGATCCTATCGCCCATGGTCGGCGACTTCTTCGTCCTTGGTCGTTGACTCGCCTGCCTCATCCTGTTGTCTTCATCCGATTCGCCATCGAGGAATGTCGGCGCCTCCTCGTCTTGCGCTTGGCCACTGCCGAGGAAGATGTCCGACAAGCCATCGCTGTGTGGTTGTGACGAGGCGACCTGCGACGCGGGTGCTGGTCTGCTGCTGGTTGCTGGGCTCGGCTGAGTCAGCGCGCCTGCAGACGAGGTCGCTGCCCTTCCTGCTGTCGATATCGTGGTCTCCACCGTCTTGCCCTTGCCCTTCGCTGCCGCGCCTCCTCGCGCCTTTGGCCTGACAGCAACGTAGCGCGAAGGACCCGCATCCTCCCTCATATCCTCCTTCGTGAAGTAGAACGAGCTCGCATCGGCTGGCCTCTGCTCCACGTGCCAGACCATCGAGTCCTCGTTCGCCTTGTACTTGCCCTTCTCGATGAATGCAGCCATGTCCTTGGGTCGGATGAGACCCAGCTCGTCTTCTCGACACGCCGGGCGCTGCGTCGGAGGAACCTCGACCCAGCTATCCGTCTTCGGCAGCTCATACCCACTCGTCACCTCCCCAATGTCCTCATCATCATCCCTGAGATCGATCACATCGTCTTCCGGTTCCGCCTTGACGCTTCTCGACCGGGTGCTTCTCTTCGGCGGTGGTGCCGAGGCGATGACGGATTCGGAGCGGGTGCGGCTTCGCGTCGAGCGGGGGGTGGGTGCGGCCGGCTTGGTCGTCTTCTGTTTCTTCTTGGGCGGCATTGTTGGGGTTACAGCACGACAGATGATGCTGTCGACGCCGTTGGCCGCTGGCAAGCTGTGGTGGTGCGGGTAGGAGCTGCGCAGAAGAGAGTCCAGGCCGTGGATCATCGTATGCAGACCCAAAAACAGTCCGTGTTCCGGCTAAGCCCAATGGGATCTAACAAATTTGGATTTTTGGACAGGCGACGCACAGACGAACCCTTCTGAAAGGTGTGTGGAGCAACTCGCATGCTTCTTGACCTCGGACCAAACCTCCCTGACTTTCCACCATCAAGAGCAACACCGGTGCGCAACACAGCGATCTCGATGGCAGCGCACTACCCATCGAGCGCGTCCTCCACGCCGCCGCCCCATCTGCTGGGCAGCAGCTTCGCCTCCTCCTCCTCCACCTCACATCTCGGCCAAACGCGATCTCGAACGCTCCTCTTCCTCTCGTACCGCGAGTCGTCTGGCCCCTCCTCCTCACGCCGCATCCCTTCCGGCAGCGACATCTTCTCCGCTCCCTACACGGACGCGGACGACCCTCTTGGCTCCTCCTCGCTTCACGCCGACAGCGAGTCGCACAACTTGCTCCCACGGCGGAGTCGCGAAGGCCACATCTCCCTCTCGGTCGACGAGTTGCCGCCGAAATGGATGGATGTCTCGGACCAGGTCGATTCGATCCTGCTCGCCATCCGACCACGAATGGACGCACTGTCCAAGCTGCACGAGAAGCATCTCCGGCCTGGATTCGCAGATCGCTCTTCGGAGGAAAAGAACATCGAATCGCTCGCACTGGAGATTACGAAGGACTTCCGCCGGTGTTCGCGGTTGGTTGCGGGGCTAGCGGCGTACACGCAGCATCTGATGCGGGAGGCGAAGAGGACAGGTGGAGAGGGAGAGGTGACGGTACGTCAGATTGCGCTGGCACAGAACGTCCAGACGGCACTAGCGACGAGGGTGCAGGATCTCAGTGGA